ATCCATGGTGGAATGATGAACTTCAAGAGTTAAAACAGGAATGTATTCGTCTTCATCACAAAGTGAACAACATGCGACGAACTGGAAGGCCTACAAACCTAACTGCACAGGAGCAAGTTGAAGCTAAGCGCGTATATGCAAATGCCATTAAACGAGCATCCATAGAAAACTTCCGCCAGTTTTGCAATCAACAAGGGAAGGAAAAAGTTTGGTCTCTTACAAACCGACTCGTAAGAGATGCACCAACTCAACGTCCGCCAGTTACTCTTCAGAGTCACGGATCATTTTCGTCGACAAGCTTACAAACTGCAGAGGCATTACTGCAACATCTCTACCCCGATGACACCCCCGACAACACCTTTCGCCAACGTGATCTACGGAGCCGAGTTAAAACCATCATTGAAACTCATGATGATGAAGACTTTACGGAGGAAGAAGTTATCGAAGCACTATCGACAATGAACGCTAACAGAGCCCCTGGTTTGGACAATTTAACGTCAGATATATGCCTAGCTTTTGCGCGTAAATACACTAACTTTTTGACTCATCTTTTCAACGCATCTTTACGTATAGGGTATTTTCCAAAAGCGTGGAAAAAGGCATTTGTAAAAATCTTGCCTAAAGCCAATAGGACTAATATTGACGAACTGGGATCCTACCGGCATATAGGGCTTCTACCAGTTTTTGGAAAGGTGCTAGAAAAGCTCTTTATCAAACGGCTCATATATCACGCTGAAAAACGACATTACTGGTCTCCAAAGCAGTTTGGTTTTAAAGAACAAACATCCACAGTAGATGCCCTTCGTTAATCATATCGAGACACAGAAACGGAAATTCCGTCAAGTTATTTGTATATCGCTTGACATCAAAGCAGCATTCGACAACGCTTGGTGGCCCGCACTTCAGAACAAATTAGAACGAATTCAAGCGCCATCTAATATTTACAAGCTTATCGGTAGTTATTTAGAAAACCGAGAAGTTACAATTGATTATGCGGAAGCAACGGCCACTAAGATGATGACAAAGGGCTGCATCCAAGGATCGGTATGTGGTCCTACCTTCTGGAACATTATTATAGATGAGCTTTTAACTATGCCACTTGCCGCGGGATGTGAAATTCAAGCTTTTGCTGATGATGTGCTTCTGATAGTTAGCGCAAAAACTGTAGAGGAGCTCCAGCAGCATGACAACGATGCACTGCAGCATATACATGCTTGGAGAGTTGACGTAAAACTAACATTTTCTGACACGAAAACACAAGTTATGGCATTTACTTGGAATGCGTGGCGTTGTGAGATTAATCTAAACGGTAGACAGCTTACGTTTGTTAAAGAAATAAAATTTCTTGGCGTTGTTAGCGACGAGCGGCTAAACTTCACCAATCACGTAAAATATGTATTAGCAAAGGTCCAACGAATCTATTACAACCTGTGCAAGTACGTAAGACATCGTAAACGCAAATATGCGCGCAATGCAATCAATGGCAACCTCCG